AGATTATCTTCTGTGTCTGTGTTAATTGGTTTCCCTTTTCTTTGTTGAAGAGGGTCTGTGCAATCCTTCTGCCTAGTCCGCCATCTTGCCCCGCCTCTCCTCACCATTTCTTACTGCCTGAGATGATGAGATAACACTCTCTGAGTGTTACAGCTGTCTCCTGGGTCTAGAAGGTTCCTAGCACAGGGAACTCAGGTCAGAAGAATGAACTCTGCTCCCATATCTTCTTCTTAGTGGTAGTCAAGTCCCTCCCGTCCTCCTCTGAGATGTCTTCTTTTAAGCCTAGCAGGGTGGCAAAAATGACCAATCCCCTTGTTAGGGTTCCATATACCTTATTTGCATGGCTCTACCTCCACAAGCATGCCATACACCTTATTTCCATTATTAGCAAGCTATCCACTGCTAAGCAGAAGGCTGGTGGTTCAAATCCACCAGCCACTCCTTGGAAGGAAGGTTGGGCAATCTACTGTCATAGTGATAACTGCCTCAGAAACCCAAGGATGGGTCACTATGAGTTGGATCCAACTTGATGGCAGTGTGTTGTGTTTTTTTGTTTTGTATCCAATCCCTTTGGTGGACCAAACACCTCATTTGCATAGTCTCATCAGTGTTTGGTGAGAGTTACAAGACCATGGTGAGAAAGTTCATTAAAAGCAGTATATGTCTCCACAATGGGCAATCCAAAAATTCACTTCCATCAAGTCGATTCCAACTCATAGAGACCCCCATTGGGTTTCCAGGGCTATAAATCTTTATGGAAGCAGACTTCCTCATCTTTCTCCCATGGAGCAACTGGTAGGTTTAAACCACCAGCCTTTTGATTAGCAGCCAAATGCCTTAACCATCAGAGCTCCTTACCACAATGGGCAATAGTGACTATTATTTTCCCTTGGTAGAATGAACAAAAACCCAGCAAGTTTGACCTTTCAGCTAATATTTAGATGGGCTATATGTATTGTTAAGGAGCTCTGGTGGCATAGTGCCTAAGGCATTTGACTGCTAACCAGAAGGTTGGTGGTTCAAACCTACCAGCCACTCTGCAGAAGGAAGACTGAGTAATCTATTTCCATAAAGATTTACTGCCTTGGAGACCCAAGGGGAGTCACTATGAGTTGGAATTGACTCGATGGCAGTGATTTGGTCTTTGGTTTATATGTATTGTTAGTCATATTGATTAAATGGTTATGTAGCTCTTATAGATTGAAGCAAGGTGCAGAAGAGACAAAACAACTTTTCATTCTAACTATACAATGTTGCTTCCTTTTTCCTTCATCCAGAATGTCTTGAAGTTCACGGAGCAGGAACACCCTGACTATTACCTACTTCTGGTGTGTGTTCAACGCCTCAGAGTATTTATCTCACACTATACTCTGCTGTTTCAATGCAATGAGGATTTGCTTATTCAGAAACGGAAAAAACTCAAGAAGTAAGGTTCTGATGTTGCATCGTGGAGGGTCAGTCAAAGGCTTCTGAGAACAGGGAGGTAGACCAGTCAGTCTAGGTGTCTGTCACAAGTAACATTGTGTGTTAAGTAGCTGGAATGCAGTGATGGGGGGGGGCAGGTAGAAGAGGAGAGGGAAGGGGAGGGGAGAGAGGTGGACAGGTCGCCTACTGCAGGGGGCATCTACTTTGGTGGGTATTAGGAAAATAAGGACTTTCACTCTACTGTCTATGCATATCCCTCTTATCCCATGTTGCTGACCCCTCAAAAATAGTTCAGTTTTCCTAAATTTTCCAGGTTCAAAATTATAGTTCACAGAACAGAATGTGGTTTCATTAATTCAATATAGATTTATTGAGGAACTATTGGGTACTAGGCACTGTCTAGGCATTAAATATACCATGATGAACAAAACAGACAATAGCCACATGGAATTTATTTTCTAGAGTTGGACAGTCAGTGAATAAATAAATTATATGGTGATAAGTTCTATGGATAAAAAATAAAGCAAAAAAGTAAAGGGGACTGAAGAGATTTCATACTAGGAATAAACAGTAAGGGCTGATTACAGAAAATCTGTGCCTCATAGGGAATAGAAGTGGCTCATAGCAGAGCTAATGACCAGCGTTTCCTTCAACCTCATCCCAACTCACCTGGATGAAACGAGAATCATTTCTGTGGGTGTTTTAGTCCAGAAAAAGATGCTATATGCTAAGCCATGGCTTCTGTAATGCATCTGTTTCCCCATGCCAGCCCTCAAGCTTATTTTAGTCAGTTAATCAGCATCCCTTTCATGCCCAGCAGCCAGCTTGCACACAACCTGGTTAAAGAGGGCCCTTAGAGAGAGATCTTCAGGGCTGAACTTCATCTGAGAAATACTGTTTCTCTGTCTTGGCATAACCTGCCTGTTCAGAGAACCAATTTCCCACTGTATATCTTAAGAATGATTGCCTCTATTCTGTTAGGTCATCCATGGCAAAGCTCTACAAAGGACTGGCTTCCCAGTGTGCAAATGTCGGGCAAGATGCTTCCCCCACTACAGGTCCTGAGGCTGTCCGTGACAGTGGGATGCACTCAGAAGAAATACTGCAACCCTACCCTTCTGCTCCCAGTTCTGGCCCTGCTGTCACGTAAGCACCTATTGCTGTGGAAAGGTTAATGGCAATGTCCTCTGGTGCCAGGCAGTCTGTGTAGGGTAGCAGCACAGCCTGGATCAGGCCTTTATGTAGTGGCCAAGCAGCAGACCTGATATCTAGATCCCACAAGAAGGCACTAGTGTTAAGGGTAGGCTTAAGGCTGGAAGTTCCTCCCAACAACTTTACCACACACAACTGCTCTCCACCTACAGCCTAAGTGTCTTTGGTTTTGGACAATGATAGATGAGAGTGTCAATGAGAATAAGAAGACATTTTACAGCTCTTTGGAAAGGTGAGAACCAAGTTAAAATCTCCAAAAGTTACAGTAGAGGGAAAGAGAAACCTGGTCAAAGGTCTGGGCTCCAAGGATGAGGTGACACAGAAAGAATGTTCCTTAGCCCTTTCTGATTCTTGTCTAAGTTCCTCCAGGAGGTACTTCATAAGCTCTGTTCACCAATTATGACTGCTTTTTTTAAAGTTCTTCTGGGCAGTGTAAGAATTTGATAGCCTTTTAAAGTCTCTGAACACGACCTTCTAGAGCACTAAAAAAAAAAAAAAAACCAAACTCACTGCTGTAGAGTCAATTTCGACTAGAGTGACCCCTCTTTGGGTTTCTGAGGCGGTATCACTACAGAAGTAGATTGCCCAACCTTCCTTCTGAGGGGTGGCTGGTGGGTTTGAACCGCCAGCCTTCTGGTTAGCAGTCAAATGCCTTAGGCAGTACACCACCAGAGCTCATGTATCCTTATAATAAGGATTTATGTATCTGGAAATCATTTTACCTCTAAAAGTCAACTTAGCTGCTTTTGAAACTGGGACTTCTAGAAACTCAAAACTCAAAATTCCCTCTTCAGCAAGTATAGACAGTTCTCACAAGCCTAATTCCTCAGACTTTAATTTCTGTTTTGGGTTTTATTATCTTAAGGAAAATTTAGAAGTCATACAAATTCTTTCCTAAAATTATGATGAAGTGAAAAGTAGGTAATGGAGATTACATCAACTTTTAATCACTATCATTTTTAGAATGCCAGTTACAGTTACTGGGAGAAGCAGCTGACCAATCCAAAACCAAACTAAACTCACTGTTATCAAGTCGATTCCAACTCATAGTGACCCAATTTCCAAGGCAGTATCTCTACGGAAGTAGACTGTCCAGTCTTCTGCCAAGGAGTGGCTGGTGGGTTTGAACCACCAGCCTTCTGGTTAGCAGTCAAATGCTTTAGGCACTATGTCACCAAAGCTCCTAGCTGACCAATAGCACAAAATAGATCTTTTTTTTCCTTTTTCTGCTCTTATCCCTTTTATGAGAACGTTTATCAGAGAGATAGAAGTGAAAATGTAGAGAGGCAGGAGGGAGACACTAAAAAATAATAAATAGATCCCAAGATGATTTCTGTCCTAAAGAGAAGATTCTAGGAGGCCTGGAGGAAGAACTCCACTCAGAAAAAACACTTTTTCCCCCCTTGGTGGAGACAGGTAGGGAATGGATATTTACTTTGTGGATTATTTCAACACTTGAGTCAGTAATAAAACTTTGAAGTGCAGCAAATAGAGCCCAAAAAATGAAATCCCAAGAGATTAAACCCAGACTAAACAAGATGGCTGTTATTACATTCTGTGTAGAGAAAAATAGCAAAATAAAAAACAAACAAGAAAAAATACCCTCAACAGCAGTCTTCCAAGTTAAAAGGAAATTCAAGTCAGGTCATATTTTGTTTCACTATTTCTTTTCACATTGGTAAATGTGACCCCTAATTTGCATTTTAAGATCACCAAAGTAAAATACCCAAGTGTTAGCTTCTATATTCTCATTCTTTATGCATTTTGTGTAAAATGAACAAATTGCCAGACTAATCAGTTTTAGTCAGTGTGCAGTTACAGCTCTGTGATAACTAAATCTCAGCAGAACTGGAGAATCTTATCTGATCTCATAGGTTTGCTATGTCAATGTTATTACATAAACTATTATTTATCCATGATTTTAAAAATTAAAAACTTCCATGAAGTTGGGCAGATTCAGTATATAGCTTTTACATTTGGTAATGCTTTTGTGGGTGGGAGTTTGAGATGACTTATACAACATGCATTAGAGTCATAACCAATTTCTTAGTTTATTATGAAAATGTCAAATATACACAGAAGAGTACAGTGAACCCCATTATGCCCACCACCCAGATTCAACAGTTATCAAGATCTTGTCACATTTACTTTTTCTGGGAACTTAAAATTATTTTTAAGTGTGAATATCCATTAAGTGGAACAAAATTTAAGTTTTCATTATTTTGTATGACTCAGCTAGGGCAAGAAAGGGAGAGAACAGTGAAAAGTGCTTGAGACAATGACAGGTCCCAAGTGGTAGGGAGGGTCAGAGCTTCCACAGGAGGAGTGATGATCGTCTTCGGCCTGCCAGCCATCTCTACACAGGGCCTCCTTGTCTCCGAGAAGCTCAGACGGGTAATTCAGGCATCCGCTTTATGGTCCCCCACTCTCCCATCTGGGGGACAGGGGCTTGTGGGAACTCTTAATCGGAAGTTTTCTGGAGCTTTGTAGATCACACACATAGGCGCCTGGGAGGAGGAGGAGAGAGTTCAGTGCCCCAGCAGTGTGTGGTAGGTTGTGTGGCTCCCGGCCTTGCGCTCGGTGGGTCCTGCACCAACAAACCGTAAGCACACCTGTTTTGTATTCTGTTTCCCCTTTAAAGACATTTGCTGCCCCCAGTGAAGAAAAGCCAAGCACAGCAAAGTCTGATGGAGAGCATGCAGCCCGGAAAGCCCAGTGACTGGGAGATGGAGGGCAGAAAGCACGAGAGGCCAGAGAGCCTCCTGGCGCCGGCGCAATTCTGCGCAGCTGAGCAGGACGTGAAGGCGCTCGCCGGGCCCCTTCAGGCCATCCCCGAGATGGACTACGAGCCCGCCCCGGCCGAACCGCTGGGCAACGTGGAGCGCTCCCTGCGTGGCCCGGCTGAGCTGCTGACGGACGCCCGCGGCTTCGTACCCGCGGGCTACGAGGAGTTCGAGTACGGCGGCGAGATCTTCGCGCTGCCCGCGCCCTACGACGAAGAGCCCTTCCAGGCCCCGGCTCTCTTCGAGAACTGTTCGCCCGCCTCGTCCGAGTCCAGCCTGGATATCTGCTTCCTACGACCTGTCAGCTTCGCCATGGAGGCCGAACGGCCCGAGCACCCTCTGCAACCGCTTCCCAAGAGCGCCACATCACCGGCAAGCAGCAGCGGCGCGTACAAGCTGGAGGCGGCGGCGCAGGCGCACAGCAAGGCCAAACCGTTGAGTCGCTCGCTCAAGGAGTTCCCGCGCGCGCCGCCCGCGGAGGCCGTGGCCCCGCGCCTCTACAGCACGCGCAGTAGCAGCGGCGGCCGCGCGCCGATCAAAGCTGAGCGCGCCGCGGCCCCCCACGGCCCAGTGGCCGTTGCCGCGGCCGCCCGCGGCGCGCCCAGAACATTCTTCCCCCAACAGAGGTCCCAAAGCGAAAAACAGACCTATTTGGAAGTAAGGAGGGTAAAGTAAAACCGAACCAAACCCACAGCGCTGGCATCCCCGGGCCTCAGCGACGGGATGTCCCTAGATCTCCAGGGAGCACCGATCATGCCTAGCGATGAGGGGGAGCCGCTTGGCGGAGGGGAGCGGAGTGAGGTCCAGGCGAGGGACCAAGGCTGGGCTGGCCTATGGGACAAGTTCTGGGTTAAAGCCCTTGAAGCCTTAGCTTCTCTCCCTGGTTTAAACCTTGTACTCAGGTGCCCTTGACAACTAATGTTGGTGCCCATTCTCCAACGTCAGGGTACCAAGAGCAGTTCTGTTGTCTTCTGTATGTACAGCAACAAAGAGAGAGCAGGGGACTCTTTTTAGATACCTCCCACAACACACATCCACAAAGAGGGACACACGTGGTCTGCCCTTCTGCCTAAACTGTGGCACCATCAGAGTTTCACTTCTTCAAAAACACTGCACACCAATTCCCGCTTCTGGCTGTTAGGTGCACCTCCTTAATTAAATGTTCAAACTATTGAACACTTGGTGTACCTGTACCCCCCCATCCTCACATTCTTGTTTGTAGCCTGTGAGCAGGTACGTTGCCCTATGTCAATGTGAATTCGCTGCAAAGCTGAGTTCATTTCCACTAGCTTTCCTTTTGACTGAAAAACGTGTCATTAATTTTAAGACCCCAGTGGGATGGAGACATCTCAAAATAGTCAAAGAAGTCACAAACACCTTCTTTGATCTCCTTATCAATATTTGGCATTTTGATGTCTAACCTTGGTAACAGTAAGCCTTGAGGCATTTAAATAAGCAAAACCAAACCCACTGCCATCCAGTCGATTCCAACTCATAGTGACCCCCCCCCATTGGGTTTCGGAGGCGGGAAATCTTTACCGAAGTAGATTGCCCCCATATTGCTTCTGCAGGGTGGCTGGTGGGTTTGAACCACCAATTTTCTGGTTAGCAGTTAAAATGCCTTCGGCACTGCACCACCAGAGCTCCTTGGGGCATTTAAATAGGTGCTTAAATAATATCCAAGAAAGGATGAATAGTTTCTGAACAAACACTTTCTTAGCATTTGTGATTGAGACAAGGCAATTTCTGATTAAGCAGAGAGAGTCACATGATTGTTCTGATTTGCCACCAGCCTTCCCCTTTAATATCATTTTAGAAGTGGTGGTTAAGTTTACAGGACAGCTCTGTGTTGGTACATCTTGAAAATGGCATAGTCCTGGACCAACTTTACCTGCGTTAGTGTAGCACCTGGGAGCTCTGGTAGTGTAGTGCCTAACGCATTTGACTGCTAACCAGAAGGCTGGCAGTTCAAAACCACTAGCCACTCCTCAGAAGGAAGACTGGGCAATCTACTTCCATAGAGATACCGCCTCAGAAACCAAAGGAGGGGTCACTATGAGTCTGATTCAGTTCAAGGGCAGTGAGTTTGGTTCGGTTTTTGGAGGGATCAGGAACTCTGGTGACATGGTAGTTAAGCACTTGGTTGCTAACTGAACCCACAAGGCACTCCACAAGAGAAAGATTGTCAGTCTGCTTCCTTGGAAACCTGACGGTCTGCCTATAGGGTTTCTATGAGTTGGAATCGACTTGTCAGCAATGGGAGGGTGATGGTAGGGTGCAAAGGTTAAGCATTTGGCAGTCTGGACCACTAGCTGCTCCTTGAGAGAAAGACCTGGTGATCTCCTCCTGTTAAGATTACAGCCTAGAAAACCCTATGGAGCAGTTTTGTTCCATCACCTGAGGTCATTATGAGTTAATGTACTGGATGGCACCCAACAACAAGGTGGTTGGTCAGATAAGGCCTCCTAGATAAGCTAAATGTCTAAATTCAAATTTAAAAGCTGCCCAGAAGCTGACTGGGTGGAGTGAGGAAAAGAAGCATGAAAAAAGGCCTTTGGACATTGAACAACAGTCATTTTTTCCTAGGTAGGAGTGCTGGAAATTATGCCAGAGGGACAGGAATGGGCTGATCATGAAGTGCCTTAGAGCTTGCTGTTCCCTGTACTTAGGAATCCAAGGCTGGTATCTACATAAGGCATAACTGATCGTGTGCTGCTGTGGCAGCTAATGGTGCTGAGCTTCCCAGGGTCTCAGATTCCCTCCTGGTACTGATTACCAATACTGAACTTCATAAAACTCTAGTAAGCAAAATTTCTCAGACAAATCAATCTTAGGCATGTGTCAAAGTTTAAAAGGTTATCAGCAAGGCAAGTGATAGTGCCAATTCAAAGTGCTCAAAATTCAGAAGGCCATGGTTGTTGGGAATCCTAGAGAGAGGTTGTGGGCAGAGGCTGTGTGTGCTTGTGTGTATATATGTGCATAATGCATGTGTGAATATGCATTTATATGTGCATTGTGTGTTTGAAGTGATGGACAGGAGGGGAGTTGTAGTGTCAAAAGATTAACCCTTTAAAAGCCCCATCCTTGAATGTGGCAGTTCTTTTCTGCTGAGATGTGCAAAGTATTGACTGCTCCATCACTTCACATACTCTGTGTATCTTTCACCTCTGACCGTCAGTGCCAGTTATCCCATGGCCCTTCGTCTTCAGTCTTTAAGAGTCAAGAAAGAAGATAGTGTATGTTTCAGTGGAAAGAGTACCAGAATAAGGGTCAGGAGATCTGTGTTCTAGTCCTGGCTCTGCTTCAAAATAGCTATATGCCTTTGATGATTCCTTTGGCTTCTCTGTGCCTCCAGTTTTCTTATCTATAAAAATGAGAATATATACCTTACTGACCTCACAGGGTTGTTGTGAGGATCAGGCCAAATAAGATAAAAATTTCTGAATATGCTTTGAAAAGTATGGAATGCTATGCAAATGCAAGTTATCAACAAGAGCATGATTCTACAGCAAGATTTTCCTTAAACTATGGATAGGTTTAGTCCCTTAATAGTCTCCCAAATCCTACTTATCAAAATGTGGTCCTTGGGCCAGTAGCAAATGCATCACCTGGGAGCTAGTTAGAAATGAAGAACTTGGGGCCTGGAGCTACTGAATCAAACCTACATTTTGTAAGATTCCCAGGTGACTTATATAAACATTAAGTGCAGGTGGGCTGATGCATGCCTTAAACCACTGGTTTTCCCCTCCAAGTGTGCATAAGGATTACCTAGACCCAAACTCCAGAGATTCTGAATCAGAAAATCTGAGGTTGGGCTCAGGAATCTATATTTTAAATAAAGGTCCCACGTGTCCCTATGGTCCTAGGACCACACTTGGAGAAACACTGCATGTACTAAGCCATCAAGATCTCCATGGTTTAGTTATGAATAATCTTAGTTGGATCTCAAGACATCTCCATATCTATAACTACAACCCCAAATTAAAGTCAAATTCATGTTGGTTTTTTTTTTTTAAATCATCCCTACTCTTCACTTCTCTATAGTAAGCAGTCACCCATCCAATTCATGAGGCTTTCAAAGCACCACTGGGGTGGGTTTTACTTTTACTCTATGGGTTCTCTGAAGGTTATTCAAAATGAAGTGGCTATTTTTAGGTTGCAGTCACCTCAAGGTAAATATTTTGTTCACATGAGATATAAATATGTATGCATATCTAGCTTAAAACCTATACATGCATATAAATACATATTTTAAAACAACAACAACAAAAATCCAACCCAACCTACTGCCATCTAGTCAATTCCAATACATTGTTGTTGTTATGTGCCATCGAGTTGGACCCGACTCATAGTGACCCCTCCTTGGGTTTCCGAGGCAGTATCACTACAGAAGTAGGATTGCTCAACCTTCCTTCCAAGGAGTGGCTGGTAGGTTTGAACCACCAGCCATCTGGTTAGCAGTCAAATGTCTTAGGCACTTTGCCACCAGAGCTTCTTATAAATACATATATACATTTATTTTATTTAGCACATGTTACACTTAAAAAAGAAACTAGAGAGTTCACAAAGATAGAGCCTTATTTTTTATTTAGAAGTCCAAGTACTAGGGATAAACTCACAGGCGCTCTGGTGGCATAGTGCACCAAAGGCATATTTGCAGACTGGAAATACTAGTTAACATTATTTCAACAGGTCCGATCTCTCAAAAACTCCTTCTTTCATGTATGCCTAAAATGGAGAGCTAGGAACATGACTTTGAAGCTAGAATCATAATTAAGCAATGTTCTAATTTTAAAGAAAGAGGAAACAACTCAGAGACTGAGGGAAAAACTACAGGTTTGCCATAAAGACATTGCTTGTGCCAGAATAAGAATTTAATTTCTATACTCTAAACATTAGCTAACTTTATTATTTCCTACTCTTTAGTTATTGTTATATCGTAATACTATTCTAGGCTATTTCTTTAATTCATACTTAAATCCTTCTACACATAGCCAAAAATTACCCTCTTTTCAACTACAGATTTCTTAGATATACTTTAGTTGGGAATGGGTGCCTGCCTTTGGTTTTCTTAAAGTAAGAGGAAAGTGACAGCTCAAAAGTGGTCCCACAGTCAGGATAGGTATTTACTTTAGAAGAGTAAAAAAAACACTCCTCTTTTGTGTTTTCAGGAGATGCATTTAGAAGACACCACCAGATTCTGTCCAAAGGAAGAGAGAGAAAGTGAACAAACATCTTTCAGCGATCAAAACCCCAGGCAAGACCAGAAAGGGGGCTTTCGCAGCTCCTTCCGCAAGCTCTTTAAAAAGAAGTGAGTAGCCCTTAGACAAGACAGCATTGTAACTCGTTTCCTTTGAGGTTTTTTTTAAAACAAATATAAGTCTCAAGTAGCCTGGTCTTACACAGTTTCTTCAAGCTCAGTGCCTGAACCCAGTAGCCACGATCCCTGCTGGGTGAAGATGTTTCTCATGATAATCTCCCACAGTAGAAGCAAACTCAGCTCTCTCCCCTGCCTCTTTTGTCTTTTAGCTCTCCCTTCCTTTTTTGCTAAAGTCATGTGTCTTAACAGGACTGAGCAGAGGTGTTCTGAGAAATGAGCTGGTGGCAATCAAATCCTTTCTAGAATGGGAAGAATGGGAACTAGGGTTGTAATGGGTGTAATGGGTACCACCTACCTCTGGAAATTTCCTAAGGGCATTTCCTCAGCATTTTTGCTTGCAGGGTCCTAGAGTTGTCCTGCATGCTAGCCCACATTTATGGGAACTTCTGCTAGAGTTTTTTCCTTAATGTGTGGATTTGGCTTGGACCCTAGTTAAAAATCTCTTGAATTCAGTTTCCATATTCCATAAGAGGCAAAAACTAGGCATTTCCCCTCTGTGGTCCTTTAAGATTCTAGGTCCTTATGAAACATCACCCACCACACATTTGGGTTAGCACTTAGCAGAACTGTCTTACAGACTGGGAGACAGTGACTAAACCCAGCATGAGCTGTCAGAGAGAGCTAAGCTTTAGCATTTGGCCATAGAGGGAGTTTCCCCAGTCCAACCAGTGCCTGTGTGAGACTGCTGTTTCTACCCTCATTCTCTCTTAGATTTTCCTTGCTACTTAGTTTCTCTTGGCAGAGGAGGTTCTTGCAGTTAGTTTTACACAAAAAGTCTTTTATGTTCTAATGGATGGAAAAAGGTAAACAAAGGCACTATTGCCACCTGACAATACAAGAGCTGATAAGTAAATCACTTTCTTCTGGAAGGTAGAGGTCACTGGTTGATTTAGCTACTAGGCTTGATGGAAGAATTCAGGGCAGGTCTGGAATAAGGACGCTTTTTCTTTTTTTAAAATGGTTTGTCTACTTCTTTTATTTGAGGGAAGGTGGTACTGAGATTAGTGGGTTCCTGATTGTTGGTCCCTGCCTATTGTTACTGGCAGATGGATGGTGGAGAGGGTAAGGAGAAAGCAAAGATCCTGCAGTTAGCCACAGCCCTACTCTGCTAAGGCTCATTTCACTTTTGCTAATGAAGCCCAGTGCATGCTAGGTCCTCACACCACTTTCTTTATTCAGGGCTGAGGAATTAAGAATTGCATCCCTTTCTCTAGGACCATAGATTTAGATCTTTCCTGGCCAGTGTCTACATCTGACAAATTTAGCAGGGGTAGGGAACCTATTAGCAGGCAGTTTTCCAGTCTGATCTTGGGATTTAGGTTTCTAAATCTTTCTAAAAACTCAGAACTCCCAAGATCACTGCTTGGGCCTATCTTTTTTTTTTTTTTTTTTTTAAGTACTGCTAAATGTTCACAAAACAAACAGCCACTTTTTGCCTATTACCATTTATGATCACTAGGTGCTATGTGCGTGAGCTCTGGTAGCATAGTGCCTAAGGCACTTGACTGCTCACCAGAAGGCTGGCGGTTCAAACCCACCAGCCACTCCTCGGAAGGAAGGTTGGGCAATCCTACTTCCGTAGTGATACTGCCTCGGAAACCCAAGGAGGGGTCACTATGAGTCGGGGCCGACTCGATGGCAAAACAACAACAACAATAAGGTGCTATGTGTTAGAAAGCAATGAGCAATGGAACCACCATTGGTTCCTTTACAAATTCCTGTTTATCAGAGAGATCTGGGAATGCTCTGCCTCTTACCTGAGGCAGAGGACGTGGACTGAAGCAGGGGGATGAGGAAGAACTTGGCTACTGATTTAGCTGCCTGGAACCGACTTGGAGTTGGCTGCCTCAAAAGGGAATGGGTTTTCTTTATTTAAGCAAAAGCTAGATGATCATGGTCAGGCGTGTCATGGAAAAGATTTGTCCTAGATGGGAGATCACTCAAGATAATGACCAGTGGCCTTTCTAGTGCTGAGATTTGATTTACTTGTAGTTTGACTATGTAGCAGCTAAATCTGAGTAATCACATCTTTTTTTTATATCCTGAAACAAGAACTCAATATGGGCCTTGGGACCTGTAATTTTACAGACTCACCATGTAGAAAAGCAGGATTTATCTTTCAATAGACATAGGCTTCCTAAATTCTTGCTGGTTGCTTTCAGTCTTCTTTCTGCTTTTTGGGTTCTTCTTAGATACTGGGCCAAATGGATTTGGTTCATGTCCTTTCTCATAGATGAGTCCCTCAATTCCTCCAGCATAAATAATACTGCTGTGACCAGTAATGGTCCTATCCTTTGTATTTAAATCTGAAGTATTATCTGAAGAGACATCTAGGTGGCACCAGACGACTATGCCCTCGGGTAGCTTTCCTGGCTTTGCAGACCCTGCCTAGGACATAAGCACCATCAGATGATGTCTGCTGATAGCTCATTCAGGTTGTCATGGTGGTACTTAGGGGACTTGGTATGGGATGAAGTAGCAGCTTGAGTAGCTTCTCCTGAGTTTCAAACAAGGACCATGGAAAGTTTGCACCATTATGCTAAGGTAGAGAGGAAGGGCAGGGAGGCGCAAGCTGAGCACAAAAAGTTCAGTGACTTTTAACTCAAATGAACACACCATTCTTCTCATTGATTCACCATCCTTTCTTATATGCATGTTCTATGTGAGACACTTGTATAGGAATCCTGTGTGACGTGGTGCCATCCCATTATGTAGGCTCTTGCACTCTGAAGTTGGGCGCGTGGACAAGTACAGGGAGGAACAAGAAAGAGGCCTTCAGCCCATTCTCCTCCTGTGTGTGAGGAGGTCAGGCTAGCAGCAAGCCCTGCGACTCTGTTTAGTGGGGCCTAGAACCACACCAGAGCCTGGCCTCAGGCCCCAAAAGGGCCTGTGCTGGAAGAGCTGCCTGCCTCCCCCACGGCCCTCTGGAGGCTCATTCCTGTCTACACTGACACACTTTTTGTATCCATAGGGGCTTGTTTGGCTGGTGGCCCCACACACCCAGAATGCTGCTTCGGGATGAAGCTAGGCATGGAGCCAGATGCAACAGAAAACCTGAGAAAGGGTTCTCTTCCCTCTGAGGCTGGGAGGGCCGGATGCTCTGACTCACAAGGATTCAAAAGGGAGAGTCAAGCTGACATCATAAAAATAAATCCTGAAAAATGCCCAAGATATTTGGGGGAAAGGATGATGCTCTGATTATTTCCATCTCAGGCACATCTGTCCTGGTTAGATATCAGGTCACATGCCCCTGAAAGCTGCCCAGAATTGATCAGAATGAAGACTACATATCTTAAAGTTTGAAAATGTTAAAGGACTTAAATTTTTTTTTTTTTTTAATGAGGATTCTCTGAAGCCAGAACAGACTAACATGATAAGGCTTAAACCTAGACTATCCTGAAGTTTGAGGCTAAAGCTTCTTCATCTTTATATATAAATCTTGCATTCAGGTTAATGAGTATTTTGGGGGGTGAGTCATGGGGGAAGAAGATGGTGTAGACAGTTTAGGGAGAGGGAATGGAGTTGGTGCCCTCCTCTCACTTTGAAGGGATTGGAAGATAAAGTATATGCCATTGAGGTGATTAATCCCACTTCCTCACCCACTCTCCTCATTAGCACTTCATACTTAACACACCCAGAGTGTCTCCAGCCAGTCATCACCCTCTCTCTCCATTACATCAGAATACCTCTATTTTCTTAATCACACACACAAAGAGTACTTCTACAGGGCCATATATAATTGAATGTTAGTGAATTCTCTTCTTTTGGTGTCTTATCAGCTATTTCTGCATATGCCCAGCCTCGGCTGTGGAACAGACCATGTAATAGAAAATAGGACTACTAAAGAATCCATTGATCTTTTTATCCTCCCCTCCCTCTCTGTCCCCTTTAAGAGGTCATCTTAAGTCCCTCAACCCATTCTTATCCACTTGGGGTTCTCTCTCATTTCCTGTTTCATTGCCTTATATAACTTTAAAATAGAAAGGGATGGTTGAAGGGATAAACATTTCAGATTACTTATCCCTGATTACAAATGTTTCCAAGTAGGTCATTTCAAATCAGTCACCAGTGATCTGTCTAGTGCACTAGGTTCTGTCCAGTGAAAAATAAGGAAAAGAAAGTTCCTGCCTGTTCGGAGCAAACAGTCCAAATGCAAGGTTAACCTAGCACACAGTGCCTAGCGCAGAGTGAATATTTATAGCACTCAGCAAGTATTTATCACATGAATGCTCGTTTATCACCCTGTTGGTGACCAGGGCTGATGGATTTGGCTGATAGGATAGGTGTCCCCCGCTCCCTGCTTCTCCATGTGCATGTCTCCTAAAGATTTTAAGAGAACACTCTTTCCAATCAGAGGACCAATTCTTCTTAGGTCAGAAGTGTCTGTGACACTGCATTCCAACCTTCCTGCTTTCCCAGCTCCAAACAAACTCTCAGGGTTTACTTGTAGCAGATCTGTTCTTGGATGACCTACCCACTTGCTATTGTTTTTGTCTCTGCCAACTGAGTAGAAGCAAAGTTAGCAACAGGACTGTTCATTTTCCTTCTCTGCAGCAAAAGCTTGGGTGGCTGTGTGTCAGGGTATACTGACAGCCACTTTACCTTTGACTACTCTGCCCCTCTAATGTCCACTGAGAGCTGCCCTCAGTCAAAATGGCCCCCAAAGCTCAAAAGTCATTTGGTTTAAAGAGAAAGGGAATAAAAGCAAATCTGTTGGCCCTTTCTCCTAGATTCTGCAGGTTATTTCCAAGTCATTAAGTATGTTACTCCAGAGTCTAATGGCCATACCACTGGAAGAGTCCAGGTGTTCAGGTATTCAGGTAGCCATATACTATGTAAGCATTATGAAGAGGTCAGTTAAAATTATCTTTAAAGGGAAGAAAGTGATTTTTTAGTCATGGCTAGAGTAGGATCCTTTGACAAGGATTAGCAATCTAGTTAGTAGTTCATTAAATTTACTATATAGAAATGCAGAGAAATTCAGACACCTGGAGACACAGTTTGTGAGAATAGCAGTTAAAAAAGAAAAACAACTAAGCTGAGTCTGTGGACTTTAAAAACTAGACAGGGCGATTTTGGCATTTGTTTCAGAAATGGGAACGCAGCTGGTGAAGATTTCTGTGGTCCTTGGGGCTGGTGGTGACATCAAAGCTTTCCCATTTTCAGGTAAACACTAAACAGCTGCATGTTGGAACAATCAAAGTGTGACATGTTGGGTTTTGGAGAGATTAGTTGTAGCTAAGAGGGGAAACGTGAGGTGAAGATTTGAAATTCTGAGTAATGACTTTTGATGAGAAACTCCATGTGGGGAAGCAATTCAGAACAAAAAGCAGTCAGATTCAAATCCTGCTCCCTACTCCCTCCTGCCCCAACCCATAGGCTTTCCTAGTCTTCTGGATGACAGAAGATATGGAGAAAGAGTGAAATGGCCAACCATATCTATCTTTTTAACAACATTTTAGGCACAGCTGGACTAATCAGGGATGATTTGAACTGGAGGTAGGGGGTTGTTGAAAGAAGGCTTGGAGATTTAGGGTGGGGCACATGAGGTTGTTTCAGGAAGAGTTCCAGGGGGGTGGTCTGTGGAGAGGACTTTTAACTCACCTAGATTTCATCTTATTTGGGAACAGTTGATGAGTACCTAACTGAACTGGGGTTGAGACATAGAATACTTTTTCTTCATTAGGATCTAGTGGGAAAGTGCTCCCTATTGACCTGAAGTAGAAAGCATGGTGGGCAGCTATGGCTTCTTCTAACACATCAAATATCAAGATGAAAAGTGAAAAAAAAAACTAGTCAGTCATAAGATTTCCAGATATCAGGATTTTACTCTTTGTGTGGATCCTGCTTCTTTCTTTGAATAATAAAAGGGGATGTTTGAATTCTGCTCCTTTTTTTTTTTTAAGAAACTGGTAGTCATCATTGATTTATCTAATAACAAGTACTCATAGCACACCTATGATAGGAAAGACCTTGAGTGGCCGTTATCCTTTTGTGGATGTGGAAGCATACCTGACTCAGCCTCAGGATATGGGGACCTTGGTCAGTTGTGTAGGAGCTTTAGACAGAGAACTTCCTAGCATCACTTTCATACATACATTCATGAAGTCTTTTGATATTGGTTCCTAGTCACTGGGCTGGTTTTACCCATTCTAGCTCAGAGTTTAAGCTAGCCAAAGGGCCCCAGCTGAGCTTATCAGAGGTTATTTCTAGAAAGCCTCCTCCCTCCAGGGACTTCTGACATGAACTGGAGAAGGTGCAGAGCTGAAATGGATTGCCCAACTGGCTTAACCAAGATAAAGGAAGAATGTACCTTCGACTGGGAACTCAATTGGACTGATTTGAGTTGTTGACTATTGATTGGGCCTGGTCTCCTTTGTGGTGGCTGAGATTATGGTATCTCCTCAATCTGATTACTGTACTAATTTCTTTATTCTACCAAATGTAGCATATATGCGTGGTTGGCTTCAATAAATCTTTCATTTAAAAATGAAAACAAGCAAAAGCAAGAGTTTGTAATATAACACCCAAATCAGTAAAGGTCCTTATAACCTTGGTTGAGAACAATGAATTCCAACCATTTCAATTTAAGGGCCTTGGTATTTGTGGAGTAGTTAACTTGGTTGAATTAAAAATTGGATTTTTTTTTTTTTTTTTAAATTTTCTGACCTTTTTATCCTTTATTATAATGCTATTTACACAGTATATTACACTAAACATCTACTCAGGACAGTTGTCACAACTGTCCCCATAAAGCATTAGGAAAATATTCTCTTTATGTTCGATGCAAATCTCAGATACACATGTCCTGAGTTATGAAATCCAGGGGAAGTAAAAATTATTCCAGATCTAGGAGGCACTGTTTAACAAATGCAAAACAATTTAGATAGATAAAATATTTGAAAACAATTAAAACCAAATCAACCTGTACTTTATCTGTGTGCTGAGATTTTAGGTCCAGTGGATCAGAATACAGGGAAAAAACTAATGAGAGTCCCTCAATGGATCCTTCACCCACCAAACAAGATTTCTTCAGAAACCGACTTGCTCTTGCAAATGACCTTGACCAAGGAACAGCTGTGTAAAACATACTTAAAGTTGTATTGTCAAGTGGTAAGATGAGGATAAAAAGCTTGTATATATCTGTGCAGGAATATATATATATATATATATATATCTATTGATGTATAAATCACTGAGGAGAACTAATTAAATACTTACATATGAAATGAAATCAATATACAAGACATTGAAGAGATGAAGATTAGTCTATGGTTAAGAGCTGGTTTTTTGAACCTCAACACTTGGGAAAAGGGAAATGAAGACTTTTCACAGCATTACAGAAAACCTCAATAAATTTGGAGGAAAATAAATGTTTTTAAGAACAACTTCCACCTTGAAGTCATTCCCCTAGTATAATTTTGAGCATGTTCATATTTAACATGGATGTGAATTTTATGCTTTCTAAGCATTTAGCTTATTAATTCATCCCAGTGTTTGTAGCCTAACATAGTGAACTATATTAGGGGTCACTGCTGTCCTGCCATCTGTCTTCCAAGAACCCCAAAGCAATACCTAGCATATCTTAAGGAGAAAGATCAATTAACAGAACTGTATTTTACGTGTTGCAAATCTAAATTGTGGAGAATTTTTGTCTTAAACTGTGTGAACAGAAAATGCAAACCTCTGAACAGAAGGTTCAAAGCTTAAAGATACATTGATCTCCAAACAAGATAACAGTCTTGAGAGTAGTATTAATTACACTTCTATGGTTATGAAAATAAGTAAAAATTATTTCTTTAGAAACTGGGGGCCAAGGAAACGTTTTCCCTTATGTGGGCTGTGCTGAGGTGGGGGGTGGGGGAGGGAGTAGTCCAGAGTCTGTTTTTTAGAGCATTCGGTACAGAGATCCAGGAGTGATCCTGAGTGTCATACACACTGATGGCCAGCTGGGTTGGGGGGCGGGAAACCACATCCTCTTAAAAGTCTTTTTTCAATATGGAAAGGTGGCAACAACACCAGTGCTTTAATGCCTTACACACTGTCATTGCTAAACACCAGAAGGTCAGAATGAAAACTCAGAGTTGGCAGTACCTAACTCTGTTTCCCAGAAGTCAGTTGTAAAGAAACAAACCTCCTACAGTTCAGATAAAGGAATCATATTGCAATGAGGCCTGCCTGGCTCTGGGGTAATGAATTGTGCTCTATTTCCACAAGGATATACAGTGAAGATGGTCACCATCCTTGACATGTCCCACACACCCTGGCAAAAATGTAGGTTTAAACAATCTTTCTCGCTCTCTAGGCAGTTAGCTATAATAAATGAGGGGCATTTGGTTACTGTTCATTCACAATCTTGATGCACCAACTGACTTCTTCAGAGGCTGTTCCTCTAGGAATACACTGTTTGATAAAGAGGTACAGGAACTTTCACTTCTAAGTGTTACAAGTTTTCTTCTACTTGTCTGATGACTAACTAGCAATTCATTCACTAGTATTTTGAAAAACAGGTATCTGGAAGACTTAAAGGATCATTGGAGCATTTTTCAGGTTTCCAATATAAGTCACAAGCTTTTCATTTTACTGAAATTAATGAATTCATCTGAAATTAGATTTCTATTATCAAGCCAAAGAAGTTTTGGGGCAGTGCTTGAAAGCACAATGCCATATGGACTGGACAAGGAAAGGGAAATGAGAAATCACAACCCCTTAAATAAAACCTATGAAACTACAAAATGCTTTCCCCTTCATATTGTTTTATCAGCAAAATAATCAGTTACTAGAGAGATTTTAAAAAATATCATACTTACCCCAAATTTTCATTTTGATAACATCCTTTGAAAAATCTTGATGCCATATTTGTAGTACAACTCAATTTAGCTGTATTTATGAAATTAGTCTGTAAAGCTAATAAATAATCAATGCTGCCATTCTCAGGGTCCCATCACCTGATACCCAGATTCTGCTGGTAGCTTTCTTTTTTTTTTTTTTTTTTCTAATTAGGATTAAGTTAGAAACTTAATTTTTCTATTTGACTGTGATTTGGTGAAAATTTACAGAGCAAATTCACTTTGCATACAGCAGTTCACATACACTTTGTCTCATGACATTGAATATAATTTACCCCAATGCAACAGCTCCCCTCCCACTTCCTCCCAATAGTTACCTCTTCCCTGTGTCCATTCCTCCATGTACTCCTGCCTCCTGAGCTGTCTCCCTATGCATTAATAGCCCTTCTTTCTCCCATGATTGTTCTCTCCAAGGAGTGTATCTATCTCAGGTAAATGTTCAACTCATATGCCTGTCTTTTTGGCTGGAAGCCATAGGTGTGGGTTCAATTCCAGACTTGAAGAGCAGCTAGGGGCCTTAGTCTCAGTGCTCTATCAGACCAGCAAAACCTGGTCCTGGTTTTTTTTTCCCCCAAATGATTTTGAGTTTCATTCCACATTGTTCTCCCACTCTATCCAGGATCTCCTACATAGATCCCCCTCTGAGTGGTTGTCAGTGGTGGCCGGGCACCATCTAGTTCTTCTGGTCTCATAGTCATATAGGCTGAGGATCACATGAATTCTGGTAGCTTTCTAATTGCCCTGACCACTTGCTGCTCATATCTATCCTACATATCTCTAACATGCTAATATTCTAAAATACAGCTTTGTGCAAAACTCTTCAACTGCTCTTATTTGCCTAAGTCAAATTCCAAACTCCTTGATATTCAAGGCTCTCTATTCAGTATGGGTCCATTTTCTTTCTGGCTACCCTCTTCCACTTTGCAATTCTGGGTGAATTTACCTCAACTAAACTGGGCTTTTACTGTTTCCTACAAGTCACACACTTTTCTCAGGTTCACTCTGGCCTCCTTCCTCTTCGCTCATCGTCAAGACCCAGTTTAAGTCCCCTCATCTTTCTGTGACCTGTTATAGTGTAACTTGTATATCTTTTTATGTAGTTGCTTTGTCTTCTGAACAAGAATGTCGTCCCTTTAGACCTCTAGAAGAGTCCACACAGAATAGGTAGGCTCTCCATAAATGGTTGATGCTGACGATAATGGTGGTGCTCTAACAGGTAGAGGACTAGAGAAAATAATTTATACTCTTAATTTGACAAAAGGAGCTCTGGTAGTGTAGTGCCTAAAGGCACTTAACTGCTAACCAGAAGGCTAGCAGTTCAAACCCATCAGCCACTCCTTGGAAGGAAGATGGGGCAATCTACTTCCGTAGTGATACTGCCTTGGAAACCCAAGGACGGGTCGCTATGAGTTGCGTCTGATTCGACAGCATATAACAACAACAATTTGACAAAGAACCTCAGGACTGTCACTTTACCTCCCCACTTTTAATTTTTTGACAGAAAAAAAAAAAATCAGTCATAAGGGAAATCAAATGTAGTTCTCTTCAGAAGCAGGTAAAGCCACCACTGTCACTTTAACAGGTGCAGTAAGAATAAGAAAACATCTCTCCATTAAAAAAAGTTTGCTACTCTTTGTGTTGTTCATTTCATAATCTAAGTAGGACAATAGGAAAGATAGGATCTTGCAATGCCAAATCACTAAGCAGAGTTTCTGTGAGTCTGGATTTTGGACATTAATGATACTTTAATGTAATTAGGTATGAAGTCAGTGTGGGAAGGAGTTTGGCAACTGCTACATCTTCGATCTTCAGATTTCTGGAAAAGCAGAGTTTATACAGGAGACCACAGCTGTCTCCTGGAAGAGATGGGTTGATAGGCAGAAAGCAGTACTCTAAGTGGCAACAGGCCCCTTTGGATTTGTGTGCAAGACCAAGAAAGGGCTGTCCTTACTCCAGAATTATAATCTTTGAGAACCAGGGATTTGTGGACCAACACTCTAAGGCTTCTCCCTACTGTACTCTTTCATAATATAACAAATAGTTTAACCAAACATAAAATCATTTGGCCCACTGAAGTTTAAGAGCTACTACCTCTTACACCACTAATTGGATGATCTGGTATTCAAACTTTAGCACTCAGATACTATGCATAGATTGAATTTTAAGACAGAAAAAAGAACTGACTATACTTACCTTGAGATATAAGGAGCCCTGGTGGCACAATGGTTAAGAACTCAAGTGTTAACTAAAAAGTCAGTGGTTCAAACCCATGAGCCGTTCTGTGGGAAGGCATGACAGCCTGCTTCCATAAAGATTACAAGCTAGGATACCCTATGGGGCAGTTCTGTGAGTTGGCATCAACTTGACAGCATACAAAAACCACCTTGAGATGGAGAAAACTGAACATCAGAAACCCAATGAACACTTTTGTATTCTTAAATTTACCATCTGAGATCTTCACCATCATATATAGTAAGATTTTCATTTTAAAATATATACACATGATCAGTGTTTTTTATAAACCGGTAAAATTTATTGATTATATATTACAGTCAATTAAATGAACTTTGAAAAATCATAAAATGAATATCCTACATCAAGATGTATAGTAAGAGTAAATCTAGTTTTCAGACTAAATTTTCTCTTGAAACATCACCATTAATAACTTTCTTCCTGAACCTAAAACAGTAATGCTTTTGGGACACTTAAGATTCTCATACCCTAAAAAGTGATTTAAAGATTTGATTGTAACTCTATCAGGATCTGAGCATCCTAATATTTATGGTCTGTAGGCAGTGAGCCTCAAATGGGGTGGGGCAGCAGGGAGATCTAGGGGAAGAGGAGGGTGAGATTGTTTCTCAAAAAGGGATATGGGTTAAAAGAGAGAGAGAGAAAAAAAGGCTGAAAAATCTGATAGAGGCCTATATATTTTAAAGGGAGGAAAAAAAAGTGAGAAGTTGATATGTGACATTGAGTTGGACCCGACTCATAGAGACCGCCTCCTTGGGTTTCAGAAGTAGATTGCCCAACCTTCCTTCCAAGGAGTGGCTGGTGGGTTTGAACTGCCAGCCTTCTGGTTAGCAGTCAAGTGCCTTAGGCACTATGCTACCAGAGCTCCCATGTGACATCAGACCTAGACCTGACCTTTAAACATGTAAGTACATAAGGATATGAATTTAAGCACTGGTGAAAATACCTTTTTGGGAAATTGTTAGATGTTCACAGTAGTCAAGATTTTTATCCTCAAACCAAGTTAACTTCTGTTTCCATGCTCTTATTGTATGGTTTTTAGTTAGTCATCCAACCTTGTTTCCTATTTACAAAGTAGACATTTTTATTCTTTCTTCTTGCCTAATCCCCATCAGAGGTTAATAGCATTAAATGCTCTTCGTTCTCAGCAGGAAAATGACTGTTGTGTTTCTTTCTTGTCTATATAAATCTACTTATCTGAAGATAGTGGGATCTGCTGTGAGGGATGAACACTCTGTGCTTCTGTCTGGGTGGGTCGTTTCACAAAGCACTAGTTTGCATTCCCTCCCTTCTCATCACATTTTTCCTTTAAGCTCGTGCAAACCCTTCAGCATACAAACATGTTTATTTCTTCCGGATTTAAAACAACAACAAAAAATATCCTTTTTTGACCCATGCATTTATGCCCCATTTCCATTTCCTTTTATAGCACAGGGAGCTCTGGTGATGTAGTGCCTAAGGCATTTGACTGCTAACCAGAAAGCTGGTGGTTCAAACCCACCAGCCACTCCTCAGAAGGCAGACTGGGTGATGTACTTCCATAGAGATACTGCCTCGGAAACCCAAGGAGGGGTCCTATGAGTGGGATCCAACTTGACAGCTTATAGCAAAACTTGAAAAAGAACATTTCT